GGCTATAAGTTATTTACTTTTGTGTGTTTTTGTCAGGCAGAAATTTATTTATATCCCCTTAGGGTTTAAGAGGTTAATGTATTATTTGGCTTGATACAGAGAGAGCATATTGGATGGAAAAATAAGAGAGTGGGGTTTACCTCTGCACAATTCTATATCTTCAAAAGAAAAAAAATCCAAATATAACAGACAGATTTATACTATATTTGGTTAAATAGGCGCATATTTACCTTCTGTCTTAGTCGCTGGTAAGTTTAAGTGCAAACCTTTTCAAAGTGGAAAAAAGTCCTAATTCCACATTCATCAGAGCCAGTGATGCTTTAAACATTGATAAACATCATCTAGTGCATTTAGTGCTTATAAGATTTGTATTAAAGTAGCAGAAATGCTGCTGTTCTCTTTAAACAAAATGAGCCCTGATGCTCACATTAAGCATAAAAAAACGAGCATGTATATTTTTGCAATGACATCAGACCAATGAAACTGAAGACCAATAGTGTCCCTATCAAAGCTGAAATCAAACCTACGTCCTTGTATTCAACTACAGCATCCAAAAGTTCCTGACCTTTCCGTTGCTTCTCTTTTTTTTGTACCCATTGCAGTATGATTACAACACATGACAAATGAAAAACAGTGTCACTTGAGAGGTAGGAATGTCTCCACTGTATCTATTTAAGCTTTAGATACAAAGCAGAGTTAATCCTGCATCTGTAGCAAAGCCTGCGTTGCAAAAGCTTGGTGTGATGTTTACATATCATACAAGGGGCTCCTGGTTACAAATGAGTCCCTCTGGATGTATCACGACATCTGTGCTCTCAGAGGCTCTTGGCTTAGTCCTGACTAAACATATCAGGCTCCTGCGGATCTGTCATTACCCGGCGATGGTGTTACTCATCCAAACCATGAAAGTGTACGACTGCTCTCCTATTTCCAAACACAGGGAGAAATTTAGCATTCAAATCAAAACAAAGCTGAACCTGATAAGAACGAAGACAATAAATAAATAAATAAATGTTTTTTTTTAGAGATACTTACCGTACAGAAACCCCATAAAGAAAGCCCACATTCATATCTTCAGGTAACACAGAGTACATGTCAGACTTAATAATACTACTTTAGCGATAGTTTCAAGGTGTTGCTTTATTGTATATCTCGTACCATGTCTTTCGGTTGTGCTGTTCTTTTTTCATCTCGTTACAGGTGATGAAGCAGACTGAAAATGTTTTGTCATTGTCTCCTTTCTCTTCTTTCTTTCATCTTTTCTCTTTTTTTCTCCTCTTTTTTCCTTCTTCTTCTTACGGAAGAGGATTAGTTAACAGATTTTTTTTTATTTTATTTCAGTATAGTATGGGAAAAATGTCAGTCAGAATTCTGAGAAAAAAGTCAGAATTCTGAGATTAAAGTCAGAATTCTGAGAAAAAAGTCAGAATTCTGAGAATAAAGTCAGAATTCTGAGAATAAAGTCAGAATTCTGACTTTAATCTCAGAATTCTGAGAATAAAGTCAGAATTCTGAGAATAAAGTCAGAATTCTGAGAATAAAGTCAGAATTCTGAGAATAAAGTCAGAATTCTTAGAAAAAAGTCAGAATTCTGACTTTAATCTCAGAAATCTGAGAATAAAGTCAGAATTCTGAGATTAAAGTCAGAATTCTGAGAAAAAAGTCAGAATTCTGAGAAAAAAGTCAGAATTCTGAGAATAAAGTCAGAATTCTGAGAATAAAGTCAGAATTCTGAGAAAAAAGTCAGAATTCTGAGATTAAAGTCAGAATTCTGAGAATAAAGTCAGAATTCTGAGAAAAAAGTCAGAATTCTGAGAACAAAGTCAGAATTCTTAGAATAAAGTCAGAATTCTGAGAATAAAGTCAGAATTCTGAGAATAAAGTCAGAATTCTGAGAATAAAGTCAGAATTCTTAGAATAAAGTCAGAATTCTGAGAATAAAGTCAGAATTCTGAGAATAAAGTCAGAATTCTTAGAAAAAAGTCAGAATTCTGACTTTAATCTCAGAATTCTGAGAAAAAAGTCAGAATTCTGAGAATAAAGTCAGAATTCTTAGAATAAAGTCAGAATTCTGAGAATAAAGTCAGAATTCTGAGAAAAAGTCAGAATTCTGAGATTAAAGTCAGAATTCTGAGAATAAAGTCAGAATTCTGAGAAAAAAGTCAGAATTCTGAGAATAAAGTCAGAATTCTTAGAATAAAGTCAGAATTCTGAGAATAAAGTCAGAATTCTGAGAAAAAAGTCAGAATTCTGAGATTAAAGTCAGAATTCTGAGAATAAAGTCAGAATTCTGAAAAAAGTCAGAATTCTGAGAACAAAGTCAGAATTCTTAGAATAAAGTCAGAATTCTGAGAATAAATTCTGACTTTATTCTCAGAATTCTGAGAAAAAAGTCAGAATTCTGACTTTATTCTCAGAATTCTGACTGTATTCTCAGAATTCTGAGAATAAAGTCAGTCAGAATTCTGACTTTGTTCTCAGAATTCTGACTTTTTTCAGAATTCTGACTTTATTCTCAGAATTCAGAATTCTGACTTTTTTCTAAGAATTCTGACTTTATTCTCAGAATTCTGACTTTTTTCTCAGAATTCTGACTTTATTCTCAGAATTCTGACTTTATTCTGAGAATAAAGTCAGAATTCTGAGAATAAAGTCAGAATTCTGACTTTTTCTCAGAATTCTGACTTTTTTCTCAGAATTCTGACTTTATTCTAAGAATTCTGACTTTTTTCTCAGAATTCTGACTTTATTCTCAGAATTCTGACTTTATTCTCAGAATTCTGACTTTATTCTAAGAATTCTGACTTTATTCTCAGAATTCTGACTTTTTTCTCAGAATTCTGACTTTATTCTCAGAATTCTGACTTTAATCTCAGAATTCTGACTTTTTTTCTCAGAATTCTGAGAATAAAGTCAGAATTCTTAGAATAAAGTCAGAATTCTGACTTTTTCTCAGAATTCTGACTTTTTTCCCATGTTAAACTGAAATAAAATTTAAAAATCAGTTTACTTTTTTTTTTTTTCCCCAGTGGCCCTAATCCACTTCCGTATCTTCTTCTGTTTTTCTGCTCTATTCACTTTGCAGTGTCCATATAAACTGTAAAACTCCCTGCATAATTATAATAAAGCAATTTATATGCATGAAACAAGTGGAGCAATATGGCAATTGCCATACTGCTCCACTTGTGAAAGTAAAATCTATTGGGCTCTTTTTGGCATCAAGACAATTATTCTTATTGCCACATTGCCAGACAGGACACTGTAAAAAAACAAACAAAAAAAAAACCAGATACTTACCGTAAAACACTGTAAGAAATGACGTCTGTTGGATAAGACAGCTTATTGTGCTGTGTATCAAACTATATTTGGTCAAGTTAACATACAGTTTGATACTCAACATCTAAGCCGTTTCCAAAAAGACGCTGCAGAAGCTCCACCTGGTGATGATGCTTACAGCAAAGAGCAAACTATCATTAGTGCAAAACTGTACATAGAAGGAGCTGAGATGAGCTGAGCATGTCTTTTATTTCAGTTTGTCAGAAACATGTTTATCACAAAGCATAAGAGTAATAAATGCATAACAAGAATATTATAATATTTCTAAAACAACAAAACAACACTTATTTGCAGTAAATATTTGCAATGAAATAAAAAGTTTGTAGACAACTGGAAAAATAATCTAGGAAATCCAGTCGATCATTTAGATAAAAAGGACAACATAAATCCTATATGTTTGATTTTTTTTATATTTTACTTACAGCTGAAGTTAAAGAGAAAACTCACCAAGACAATCATAATAAAACAGATACTACGCGTATATTTTCAAAGGAGAAGTCCGGTTATCTTCAGAATTCAAACTTCTGAAAGTGCTTTAAATATGAGATTATTACATCCTGTTCAATAAATGATCAGTGTTTTTAACTATGAGAACTTTTCATTTGAATGTGCTTTACTGGAGGCGTCCATGTTTGTCAAAGAACTCTACTGCCACCTACTGGTTTGTGACGTCACGGTGCGGTATCGGCTGTTGATCAAGTCCCAGTGCTGTATCTGGTGTTTGTCACAACGCGCTATTATCCAAGTCATCTTGAAAACATTCTTCTTCTAAATGTTGGCTACATATTACGGTTTTTTTCTCTGGAGGATCAGGAATCAGAAAGGTGAAATAACTCTTTTTTCCACTTTTACCTGATGTATTCCAAATTTCAGCTGCCATGCACGTGGGCATTATCAGTTTCACTATAGCTCTGGTGAATTTCAATGGTGAAGTCCTCTGGAAATCTTCAATAATTGTTGATATTTTGCTTGTAAAGCGGGAAGAATGGCGCTAGGCTTACCGCACCGTGACGTCACTGCCAGAAGATGGCAGGAGGGAGGGGTTACTATATCTGGGCAAAAATGGCCGCTCCCAGACTCAGTGATCACAATGAAAATTATTAATTTTTCTTACTAATAACGCTAAATTCATTAAATCACCACAAACATATTAGTTTTAGGTATAAATAATGATCCGTTGATCATTCCTTGATGACCGGACTTTTCCTTTAACAAATATGTAACCGGATCTCCTGCCTCCATAATGAAGCTTGACGTACTCCTACAGGCAGGAGAAAGAATTAGCATATTCTCAAGGTGCAGTTTACTACAAATCAGGCATTTTTTTGTAAGATTATCCACTGGGAAAAAAAACCCACATTACAAAACAACTGTTACAACCGAAGATAAAATTGAAGGGTAGTTTATTCTACCTGCTGACCTCATAGATTTAACTCATTTGTAGCTTAAGTGTCGCATTTAATGTCATGTTTATTGTTACGTTTATCATCATTTGGAAGTAAAGCATTAATTAAAGCGTTAACATAAAGTCACAACTGAAACAGTTCTGATATTATAGTTTATTTGAAATGACAAAGGTTTGTCGATCCTCTTCAGGTTTAGAATTATCTATTGTTTATATTTTAGTCACAAAGAGGTTTAATTCAAACCAGCTTTTTTTTTCAATACACAGAATTTTGATAGATTTCAATTTTCTGCTGGTTCAGGCTCACCCATCTTGACCCGGCACCAGATAATCTTCGTTATTCTGGGCCTGCTCTTTAGGCACTCCTGCGTCACCTTCGGGTGCCGGTCTCGGGCCGTCATGGACCTCGGCTGTGGTTTCTGTATCCTCTGGGCTGGCATCAATGTCGTCGTAATTCTCCTGCGACTCTTCCACTTCATAGGTCACGGAATCTGTTAAAGGAAGAAGCACATTTGGCCAGGTGCATTGTGTTAGTAATGTATAAAGATAGGATTAAAATATGCTTAGAACTTAGTGAGACCTTTATCCGTTTTATCTGGTTTAGTGGCGTGGACCACAGAGCCCTGGGGGGTCAAAGGCTGATCCTCGGCCACCTCATCGATGTCGTCGTAGTTATAGGATCTCCTGCTGTCCACATCTCCCTCCCCTGGTCCTTCTGAGTCTGATTTAAATCCTGCATAAAGAAATCTGGATAAGACAAAAACCTCCTGGACAATAACCTTGACCCTTCACATTGTGGAATAATTGCATAATAATTTTTTTCAATATCTGCCACGATGCTCTTTAACTCTTCATCAGTTCTTTATTTTATGTCAACTGCATGTTTTCTTGTCTTCTTTGTACAGAAGCAGCCATTCAAAATTTCCTCACTTTCCTAGATGGGTCCTTGCCTGGTCCTTGGCTGGTTCTCTAGGGTTCCTTTTTTAAAGGGGTCATCGAAAGCGAAACTGAGTTTCCATTGTCCTAGATAACTAACGATAGTTCAGTGGGCGAAATGGACGTGCAGAGAAGTTCAAACCCCATCGACTCCTCCTTTCTCTGCAAATCTCACAATTCTAAACTTCCACCATATAACGAGCGAATCCAAACGAAGCCCAAAGATGACGTAAACTCTGGGATGTTGCCTTATTTGGTTCTGGCCTGTACTTTTGTCACGCCCAGAAATTGGCCCAAGGAAGGAGGTATGAAGTGTCGACTGCTGGGCCGCTGACTGGACCGGACCTCAGCAGAGAGCCACCAGTCCTCAGCCGGAGGAGGGGGGCCGGTAAGACAGGCGGGTGTAATCACGGGGCCGCCTGTGTCCAGGCTACGGTCACCGGGTCAGGTTTGGTCCCTCCGTCCCCCGCTGACTCCCTGCCCCCGTCTGCCGTGGTTCCCGGACCAGCCCCAGAGCTCACGGCTCGGTTCAAATGCCCGGTGTGTTTCGACTAGGTGCTGCACTGTAGTCGACCAAAATCCTGGAAGATTTTGAAATTCCCCCCGGAAATTGTTTTAGGTATGAAAAGTAGGACATGTCCGTGAAAAAGGGCACATCTGGTCTCCCCACCATAGCAACAATTTTGATGTTCCAGAGAGTGAGTGCTTGTTGCTATGATGCGTCTTTGCTCAGCAGCTTGGCTCTTTGTAAACCAACCAATCAGAGCACAGCTCATCTAAATATTCATGATCATCCCATAAAAGGAAGAAACCTGTCGTTTCATTCTAGGGCTTTTAACCAGGCTGCTTTAGGGCTCATAGAACAGCTAATATGCCATTTTGAGCCCAACCAATGTTACACACCCTATTCAGAGACCTTAAGGACCAGATACCCTATAGAATCATTATATGACCCCTTTAAACGTTAGTCTTTGTACTAGAATATTCTTTCTGTCATTAGTGAGCATTAAGAACTAAAGAGAAGCGCCTTCTCATGGCCAGACCCTGTAATTCACTGAAAGGTTGGAGTCAGAGTAAAAGAATCTTCATGCCCAGGAGAAGGAGGGGGTCACTCCAGCGGCTAGAAGTAGGCTGCCATTCAGCTAAGATTTCACTGGGAAGGGCCATTTTGAATGGCTGCTAGTGTAGCACCTAATCACCAAACCCAATTCCTCGCACCTGTGAAACATTTTTCTGATTCTGATTCAAACAGACATTCATGAACCATCGAGGATTGTTTTTCAAAACTGTGTAAAACTGAAAATTAGCTGGTTAGTCTTTTTTTTTTACTTACGGCCACGTCTAAAACTGTCTACTTCGTCTGATTTGTCAACATCCTCATATTCTCCACTATCCCAGTCCGCTTCTTCCATATCCGCTGCTTAAAAACATATTAAACAAGCCAGAAACATTTTGAAATAGAACCACAGTCTACTTGAATAAGCAACTAAAGTGGAAGGAAAACTTACGTGGCCTCATGGCTTTCATTTTTCTTCTGTTAATACGGTATCGTACAAATATCACAATCAATACCACCAGAATAAGACAGAGCAGCACACCGACAACAATCGGAATAGGATCTGGTGGAGCAGTAGGCGGGGAAGAAGGCGGGGGCGTCGTGTATCCTGAAATCAAAGCAGACATGCAGCAGGTTGATTTCCTTTTCTTTACTTCTGCATCATAGCTAAGACTAAATTTGATTGTTGAAATAAAATTTTAAACTCCCTTCTTTTAAAAAATGTATATTTTGGTGTGCTTAATTTACCAACACATTGGATATTCGCTGATTTCCCACTTGAACAGGTGTCATTTATACAGTAACGAAGATTTTTTAGACGATTGTTCGGGCAGACAAGACTGGTTTCTACTCTGGTTTCTGCTTTTTTGTTCTGAAAAATGAAAGATAAAACTATTAAAATAGATGATTTTTAAAACACTTTAAAGGACGGCATGTTGTTTTCTCAGGTTTCATGTAAAATTCTGGAATTTAATTAAAATCAATCGTAGAACATCTGTCTTAATAGTGACTTATATTTTTACGATTTACCTTTATAGGTTGGGTTTTGTTGTTACAGACTAATTCTTTACACAGTTCCTCCTTTATCGTTTCAGAAATGCCGTCTTGGCACAAAGTCTCTGGTTCTCCTTTATAATTGACCAAGAGAACACCACCACACCCGTCTGATGCCCTGAAACCAACACCACCTGTAAAAAACAAAGAAAATTATCAGATAAACTGAATTGAGAAATTGTTGAGCTCTGGACATGGAGATTATTTTTTAAATTAAATGAAATGATAACAATCATTTCTAAATTTATTTGCCAGCTGGTGAATACGTTTTCACGTCTTTTTTAAAAGCCTGTCAAGCAGCCACGGGTGTCTATACGGTACTCAACGCTGTAAAAAGTGCCAGCCTTTTGAGTCTTAGTGTCTGCTGACCTGCAAAGAACAAAAAAAAACAAAACAAAAAGAATCTTCATCCTCCCAAGAATATTCTTTATTCACCATGAACCTAACATAACCACGTTGGAGAAGAAATTATCCAAACTGAAATTTTGTTTTTCGTTTCTTACAGTAGGTCCAAAACGTTTCTCGTCCAAACAGAAAACCCTGCCAGTGAAAACAGCGTCAGGCTCTGGGTTTTTATTTTCTTCAGACGGAGTCGGGATTGGGGGCTGTGGGTAGCACTATTGCCTTGCAGTAAGAAGGTTCCGGGTTTAAGTCCCGGCCTGCGGTCTTTCTGCGTGGAGTGTGCATGTTCTCCCTGTGCATACGTGTGCTCTCTGTGGGTACTCCGGCTTCCTCCCACAGTCCAAAAACATGACTTTTAGGTTAACTGACTTTTCTAAATCGTCCTTAGGTGTGAGTTTGTTTGTCTCTGCGATGGACTGGCGACCTGTCTACCCGCCTCTCGCCCTTAGACAGCTGGAGACCATCACCCCTCGCGACCCCGACTGGGATTAAAGGCATACTATGCAACATTTTTCAGTTAATTAATGTGTTCCATAACGTTATGGATGATTAAATGAGTCATTTCAGGTTGAACAAAGGTTTTCTCGGCCGCCCTGGTGGTCTGTGAGGGAAATACCGCACTTGCAATTGCAGGAGCACCGACCCGCACCCACAGGCTCAGAAGTCTCGCGAGAGTCGGTCTTGCTTTACGGCGAGAACTGCTACACGCCCCCAGTTAAAAGCATGCTCGTTGCTAGCACAGTGGCGATTTTTGTGCAGTTATCATGGCGGAACCAGCGAGGAAACAGCGAAAGCCCATGTCGGAGCAGGCAAGAAAGAGGAAAAGGGCTCTGGACAGAGGGAGGAGTCGTACACGGGTGAACCTCGGGGAAGCTTTTTCCGAATGGCGAGAGCTAAAAGAAAAAGAGGGCTGCAAGTGTGACGCCGACCTCGCGTTTCTGCTGATGCGATTGTAAGTAACTTTGGAATGGTTTCTCTCTCTCTGTGTGCATGTTCATACTTTCACTGTGTTAGCGTTTGTTTGTTCTGCCGTTTTTTCGACTTTTGTATGATCGTTGCGTTCGCCTGTCTGCTAAGCTCAAAACAACCGCGCCTGGCTTGACGGAGAAACCAGGAGAACAGCTGAGCATATTTACGACAGTGTACTTTTACTTTCGCCCTCTGGGGGGAGCCTCGCTGGAAAATCAACCCCGGTTGCATAGTGTACCTTTAAGTATGACAGAAAATGGATGGATGAAAACATAAACAGCTTTAAAGGGCAGCAAAATCTTCCACTGTTTTCCCGAATGCTGAAAATCAGTTAATTTTGTTTTTCAGCTTTCACCTGAGATAAACTAAAGATAAACATGGAAGGATGAATTTAATTCTAAAAAAGACTAGTCAAAATTCAAAACACTGGGTGAAAGGATCACACACTTGTCGTTAGGCAGATTAAATGCTGCAAACTTATGACAGCTTTTATATTTATTATGTTAGTGTTGATTGAATCAATTTGACTGCATGATCTGGTGAACTGTAAAGTGCCTTGAGATGACTTGTGTTGGCGCTATAGAAATAAACTGAATTGAAAATCTGAACATATTAAACATGTATTATCAGCTGCCTACACTAGGAGACATCTGAACTGATTGATAAATAAATGGAAATCAAATAACTAATTCCTCTTCTTTTGTTCATGTTGCAACATGAACCATTTTTATTCTGATTTCTGTTTTGATTAGCAATTAAATTTAATCCAGTTCATTTCTATATTCAATTCACAACACATGTCATTTGAAGGCACTTTACAAGTCAACCAGATCATCCAGTCAAACTAATTCAAAGTTTTCTATCTAAGGAAAACCAGTTGATTGCATCGACTCATTGACTCTTCAGCAATCCCTCACAATAAGCATGCTTGTAGCGACAGTGGAGAGGAAAAACTCCCTTTTAACAGGAAGAAACCAGCAGAACCAGGCTCAGTGTGAGCGGCCATCTGCTGAGGCCGACTGGGGTTCGAGGAGACAGACAGTCATGCAGGAAGAAGCAGAGATACAAAAGGTAACAAGAAAATAAAGCTTTGTATTAAGAACATTGTATGTGTTTTTTTTAATTTTTAGAAATAGTCTCCTATGCGAACAGAAACATATGGGCATGGTGGAATGAGATGAAATGGGATGAACAGACACTCACCTGCACAGGTAAGAAACACCGTACCCGTGTCGCAAGGCGCTTCTACCCTCTGACACTGACCAATGCGGTAATGGTGCTCATCACAGTGAACATGGAAGGACTTCTCCTTGCTATTTAGAGGCTGACTGTAAATGCTGTTGCCACAGTTCAGTTCTTGGCAAACTCTATGAGAGTCTTCATCCGTCCACTGACTCATACACACTCGCTTGTTATCTATTGTCAGCTCTCCACTGCAGCCTTTAGACAGGGCAACTTTAGGTTCACCTATTGTAGAGGAAGAAGGAGGAGAAATCAAAGGTTAGTTTTCTTCAATTAATCACATAATGCATGTTGAAGAGTCATTTCTATTCAATTCAGTTTAGTTCTATAGTCCCAATTCACAACGCAGCATCTCCAGGCATTTTACGGAGACAATTCAACCAGATCATCCAGTCAGACTGATTCAAAGATCAGTGGACAGGGAGGAAGGTTTTATATATTACCACTGAGCTGCTTCAGACACTTCCTGTTAGGTTCTACCATTAGCTTTTTGTCTTGATGTGAAATCTCAGTCACTTTTTTTGTGCTTACAGCTGTGAATTTGTAGCCGCTGCATCAGTGTCAATCTACTGACCCATCTTATTAAAGGTAATGCTGCTTTCACTTTGCCCTAAAAGTATGACGCTGGTGAAGATTCTCACTCATCCAGGTCCTAGTCATTCCAAAAAAGTTAAAAAGCAATTCTCTGGACTTCATTTTCAAGTTTGAAGACGTTTCGTTGCAACCCCAGCCAGGTCAATTTTAATGACCCCCCCCTATAGAGACATAGACAGGTATGGGGCATTGCAGGCTAACAAAAGAAGCTAAACTACCGCCACTCCAAAGGGGCGGACCTGTTTGTCCGTTTCAATTTGCATGTTTTCTAAACAAAAACAAGCCTTTGTCGAGCTTCTGTATAAAGCCTTGAACTCAATGCTATTTCTGACATTTTGAAATGAAAAAGCTTCCTGGATTGGAGGCAAAACATCTTCAAACTTGGAAACAAAGTCAACTGGATTGTTTTTCAACTTTGTTTGGAAAAGACTGTAGAGTTGATGGTTGCTTAATAAATTGTAAACTGTAACTATAGTCTAATTGTCCCATTTTTTAATTTCACTGGTATTAAGCTTCTTTTTTAGATGAAGTTTTCCGACTTCAACAAGTTAAAATCTTACCTTTACATTCAAGGATGACTTTTTCTGTCTTTGTGTTATTGTTTGGTTCGGTTTTACATTCCCAAATGCTTTCCTCTCTTCCAGAACAACTAAACTTTTTATTCCATAAAGAATTAATCTCAGCATCTTTAATGGGTTTTATATTTATATATGGGCCGCAGTGCAGATCTTTACAGAGCATTTCTCCTTCTTTCTGTGTCCAGCCTTCAAAAGAGACGAAACTTCTTTTTGCCTCTTCGTCTTGGTCAGTTTGTCCAGAGTAAACAACCACTTTTCCTTTACAGGAGTCCTCCACTTCAAGCGCCATCTTACTCCAATCTGAGAAAAAGAGCAGCAGAAGAACGAAAGCTTTACTTCAATATTCTGAGAAAACTTACCGAGGAAACGCATAACTGTATGTTAGATACAGAAAGAACCTCCCAAACACCAGATGTCATTTAGACGTCGGTCTTTAGACTAAATCTGGTCAGTCCGTCATACTCTAGATTTAGTCCAGAAATAGTTAAAGGAATTTGGGTTAAATTTGGTTGGTCTGTTTTTGTCCAACTTAAGTCCAAAAATATTATTAAAACCAAGTTTTTTCAACGATCTGAAAATTCCTGCATTTAAACTTTCACTTTTAAAGCAAAGACAGTAGACGTTGTTTGGACGTAAATGATGTCGTCTTTTCAACCAATATTTGCTGGGTGGGAAAGTCCTTGGTTGAAATCCCTGCCTGGGCCCTTTGAGCATTAGATTTGCAGGTTCTCCCAATGCACACATGAATTCCCTCTGGGTACTCCAGTCCTCTCCCAAAGTTTAGAAATGATAGGTTAACAGGTCTCTCTAAATTGTAGGTCAACATGAGTGTTCGCTTGCATGCCTGTTTGACAAGAAATGGACGTATTATTTAAAATAAAATGCCTAATTTTGTGTTTTATTTAAAAAAAAACTATTTTGAAGTTTTATCAGATACATTCCAATCTCAAAAACTATAAAACAGCGACTCAGCCTATATGTATTCTGTATGGTGCTGCTTTGTAATTTATGCCTGATATTTTACAGCACTTTCTGATGCCTCTTTAAGAAAGGTGCTATTTAATTCAATTCAATTCAGTTTATTTATATAGCGCCAAATTCACAACACATGTCATCTCAAGGCACTTTACAGTTCAACCAGATCATACAGTCAAATTGATACAAAGTTTTCTATCTAAGGAAAACCAGTTGATTGCATTGACTCATTGACTCAAATACAATCCCCCACACTAAGCAAACATTTAAATAAACCTCACTTACTTACTTGCTTACAAAGCAGAAAGTTTTACATTTCTTATTTTTAAATCAATGTAGATTTTGAATCGGTTCCCTTCATAACCATGGCCAATAAGAATACCTTTAGCAAGTCACATGTTGGCAGCAAGTTATAGACGTCTACCAAGACTAGTTACACTATGACGATAATCCATAGGGCCTTTCTGTTTTGCAGGATTTTATGGCTTGAGATGTTGTAACTATTTATCACACAGGTAAATCCTAGCTAAGCTTGCTTAGGTCAACATACTATCAATTATTTAAGGGCAAGAAGTGAGGAAAAAAAACCTGCAGACTTTGCTTTTTACAGCTTAAATTCAGAAACGAAATGTGCAGCTAAACATGCTTTTAAATTTAAATTGAACTGTTGTCTCTAAGAGAAAAGAAATATAAACTATTCCTGTAAAGAAAACATTTTTCTCTGGAGAGACCATCATGAAGTGACGGAGTAGAGATGTTTTAGCCATTATTTTAAACATTTAAATCTTTTAGAAAAGAAAAAAACAATTATACTAACTGGAGCAGAAAAGGCCTCCAAGGTCTGAAGCTTTGATGATGTTTTTATCCGCTTTCTCCGCAGCAATTTTTTTACACATTGCTAGTGACCTCCTAGATTTATCACACTGCAATTCTTTGATGAGATGAGTCTTCTCTAAAGGCCCTAAATGGGGAGTCGTCTGTACCCAACCTGCCCCACACTCTAGCTCCTCACAGATGGTTTTTTGAGTATTTTCATCCTTGAGAGCATCTTTATGCACTGGGAGCCAAAGGCCTTCATACAACACTTCCACATTCCCAGAACAGTGGTCACGAGACGGCTTGAATCTTGGTTTGATGCTCTCTGCAACAAAGAAAATAGATGTTTTGTTTAACTTTGATAAACTGAAAAATTCTATCAGCAAAAAAAAAAATAATAATAATAATAATTAATATATATATATATATACAAAATAAACATATATACAATTAATCTGATTAATTGTGATTAATAAACAAGAAATGATGCTCAATTAACTCTAGTATAGAGTAAAATATGCTTTTAGCTGGCAGAAAGACTAACTTAGAGCAGTAATTATTTGAAATTGTAAAACAAAATATATTTACATTTTGCGTTTAAGATTGAAACAAAAAAAAGTTTTCGTCTGTCAATATGGTCTATCCAGACCTCCTCAAGTGGAACATTTTTATTTAGAGCTTTAATTTTGCAAAAACTGATTATTAATCGGAAAAAAAATAGTGGACATATTCTCTATTCTAAATAATGTAGTATTTTATATATATAAATATATATATATGCATATATATATATATATATATATATATATATATATATATATATATATATATATATATATATATATATATATATATATATATATATATATATATATATATATATGCATATATATATATATATATTTATTTATATATATATATATGTATTTATATGTATGCATATATACATATATATATTTATATATATATATATATATATGCATATATATATATATATATATATATATATACATATATATATATATATATATATATATATATATATATATATAATTTTCTTGTATATTTCATTTCTAATTAAGGCTTCCGCTTAATTAACAAAATATCATAAAAAAGCAGAACTCTTACAGTCAAACAAGCACTTACTTTTACAAACAACATAGGCCTGTTTAAGTGTAGGTGAGCCGTTTGCATAAACCAAACTGTACTGGTTCAGGTTCCTGTCAGTCCCCACATTATTCAGATCATGCAAACTCTTAAAGGCAATCTGTCCTTCTTTCGGACTCTCATCTATAGATGGCATGGAAGAACCACATGACAGCTCTTTGCACAGTTTCTCAGACATTTTTTTCTCCCAAGCATCTTCAGCCACAGAACCCTTTTTGTCTGCCGTAGTAATGCTGACATATCCCCAGCAGGTGTTTGTTAGGCTCACGCTGATGGTGCCTGTCGCAGCAAACAGAAATATGCAGAACGGACAATTTCTGTTAAAGTTTCCACAATACTTGATTCATAAATGAACTAGATCAGAACTAATCACTTCATCCAAAACGTTGGATAGTAGGTCATGCCAAAAAAATAAACCATTAAAGAATTTATTTCAATATTTCATACATGTGGTTTCACATTACCTGTACATTCCACTGCAGCAAAGGTCTGATTGGAGGCAGAGTTCTCTTCTAATTCACATTCAACGAGAGATTTGTTGCTAGATAAACAGTTATCAGGCTTAATTATTCCATCGGATTGGATGTTGGTGGATGAACTAATCTTGGAAGCATTCCCACAGTGCAACTCCTGGCATATCTTGCTTGCTAAATCTATGTTCCAGGTCTGATTAGACCAAGAGAGCGAATATTTTTTCTCCTTGTACATGATCCCAACAGTGCCAGAGCATGGCTGATTCCCATGCAGGAAAAGCACCTTGTTCTCTGTAAAGAAAAGAAGGGGGGTTGGGGTCATTAAGTGTCAGTCGGGGCTCCTATTTCACAAGGAACTATTAAGCTCCTCTTTTTTTAGGACTAAAGATCAAGGAATTAAGGAAGATGAATGAAATGTTTCTTAAATTATCATTCCTTTAATGAGTCAAGAACAGTTTGGATTTATAAACCATATTCATGCAAGTTTGGAAGTTAGAAAAACAATATTAGAAAAAGAGCAACTTCAAACAGGTTAAGTCAACTGTCACTTAAAAAAAGTCACTTAAAAAAAGAATAAATGTCTTTAAATAAAACTGACTGAATCTGCAAAGCTATCTGCAGGAAAGTTTATACGGCTGTTATATTTAAATCAAGAGTTCATCACGGGACCGCCAAGTTCATTGCATGCCGCTAACAAACTTATACAACACAAATCCAATCATGCTGGCCGCTCCGTCTGGATTATCTGTGTTGTAAATGGGGTGTTTATAAATGCTTTTAGATTCAGCAATGATAAAGCTAGCATGTTTCCCTGGAAAGAAAAGTTCCAAATAAATCTAAATAGTTAAAAAGCATCATATAGATGTAAAGATAAAAGGAGAAAAACTCACCCGGACAGGTGATGTCGATGGATTCATAGCCCTTGGAGTTGGACTGCTGTTTATTTTTTGATATGCAGTCAGATATCTCTGTTTTTGAGTCCCAGTTTTCCAAAACCAGAGAATCTTTATTACTGTTTTCAACATTTTGAGAGCTCCTTTTTGTGCCGTTCTCAGTTTTTCTCAGTTTTTCGCAGACGATTTGGGACAGCTTAGGCAGCTTAGAATTGTCAGTACGAGAACGAAAGGCTGTTTTCCACTTGCCCTCGTACTCTACTTCCAGTGTTCCAGCAAGGTGTCCAGGACCACCGCGTAGGTTTACACTCACACTCTCTGTGTCATGGAGAGAAGACATTTTTGAAAGACTTAACTTTTTCTAGACTAAGAAAACAGCAGTTATTTGGATCATTGCTGAGAAACATCAGCATCACACCCAAAAGGTGAATCCTTTCAAAGACTGATCTTACCTGAACAGATAACATAAGGGACGTTTGAGCATTGTGTATCACATTGATGCTTAGCTCTACAGTGCCACAGTGACGACTCCGTCCCACTGCATTCCACATGGTCCAACATCGCTTTTCTTGAAACACTAATCATTTTGGTTCCAATGTTCTAGAGAAGCAGATTACAGACTGATTGTGTTACTAATAAAAAGGAGTAGTCTAACCATCCATCCATCCATTTTCTGACACGCTTAATCCCAAGGGGGGTCGCGAGGGGGGGCCGGTGCCAATCTCTAGCTGTCTATGGGCAAGAGGCGGGGTCCACCCTGGACAGGTCGCCAGTCCACCACAGGGAAACACAGAGACAAACAACCATTCACACACACACACACCTAAGGAGAGTTTAGAGGAGCCAAATAACCTAACAGTCATGTTTTTTGGACTGTGGGAGGAAGCCGGAGTACCCGGAAAAAACCCACACATGCTCAGGGAGAACATGCAAACTCCATGCAGAAAGGCTGGGAATCAAACCCAGAACCTTCTTGCTGCAAAAGGCAGCAGCGCTACCCAGGGTTCCACTGAGTAGCCTAGTCCAACCAATACTACAGTTCAATCCAGAACAGTTGTTTTTTATAGGAGCCCCTGATCTGGGTTATGGTGGGATTCAATTAATTTAAATTCAGTTTATTTAAATAGCTCCAATTCACAAAACATTTCATCTTAAGTCACTTTCCAGTTCACCAGATCATCCAATCAGATTGATTCAAAGTTTTCTATCTAAGGAAAACCAGCTGATTGCATCGACTCATTGACTCTTCAGCAATCCCTCACACTAAGCATGCTTGTAGCGACAGTGGAGAGGAAAAACTCCCTTTTAACAGGAAGAAACCTCCAGCAGAACCAGGCTCAGTGTGAGCGGCCATCTGCTGAGGCCCACTTGGGGTTCAAGGAGACAGAAGCAGACATAGAGGTGTAAGGTCAGGCTGTTGTTTAACCAGAGGGACAACGCTGAGGACTCACCTTCCCACAATTCAGTTCTTTGCAGATCATGTCATAATAAGTGTCATTCCAACCGTTTCCACAAACAGCTTTGGTAATATTATTTACTTTGATTCTGACTTCACCATAACACTTGGTGTCGCTGCCTGCAGCATCAGTCAGAACTACTTGGACTTGGTCTGTGGTTGAAAAAAGAAAGTTAAAAATTACTGTTAATCTGTTTATAATTCATTTATTTGTATTTCAATCTGAAACCAACGATGAATTTAGTTCCTTTTTAATTTGTCATTAAACTCAAATTGCATACTTGGAAATGAATGAGGTTGGATTAAAATACATTTAGCATCTAATGTTTATGAGCACTGTTACAAATAACTCAGCCGTTTGACGGCTGAATTTAATACACAAATAAAAACAAAAAATTAATAATATATATACGTGTAAAAAAAGTATTTTTACTGGAGCTGTGTGATTCTTCTCTCTTCTATAATTGCAGTTTGCGTCTGTGAAACTATCATTACCTCAGAGCCCAAAGAAAGTTTTAAAAATGTATTACAGTAGCAGAGAGTCATAATGTCCCCACTTTCCTTGGCTGGTCGCCTACAATTCCTTTTTAAACATCAATCTTTGCACTAAAATATTCTTTCTATCATGATTTGTGGACATTAAGCTCTAAAGAGAAGCGTCATCTCCTGGTCAGACCCTGTAATTCAGTGAAAGGGTGGAGTCAGAGTAAAAAAATATGCAGGAGTTGCAGGGAAGTTGGCTGGCGTTTGATTGAGAGGGGCCATTTTGAATGGCTGCTACTGTAATTTGCTTGTTATCAGTTTTGTCTACACTATAACCAAATGTTGATTTTAAACTGTACTCTGTTTTTTCTATATTATTTCATGAAACAAAATGTGAAAGAAAAGTTTGTTGTATTTACTGTCCTGGTTTCACATTGAAAAATGTGTGATACAGATTGCACTTATGACAGATTGTGACAGAAGATCCAAAGTCCTGAATCCACACATAAACAAATAAAAGACCAGATCCGGAAACCAGAGCTGAAAGGGATTCTGTTAAAGTTGGGCTCAGTTACCTGAGCAGGTTAGATGCAGGCCGTTGTCGCTGTGGGTGAAGTATCCATTTGCACCACAGTGCATGTCGGAACACAGTTCCGATGCGTTGCTGCTGCTGCTGTTGCTGTTGACAGGTATCCACTCTCCATTCTCGTTTTCCCTTTCCAGTTGACCAGAACAAACATTGGAGTTGTGTCCTCTCAGCTGCATCCTTTTATGATCTGTTTTCATCAAAGTGGATTCATCACTTTCTGCAGTTAGCATATTATAACAGTTGAATCTGTGCTACGTGTTGATTGGTACCTTTACATGTGATCCTAGCAGCGCGTTTGCAGGATTTGGGTGCTGATTTTACGCACTGCCAAGGATGAGTCACATCTTCAATACCTTCGCAGTTTATCGACTTCATTTTCGATGTTTCAAGGATTTCTTCAGGCCGTAGAATTTTTCCCCACTCCCCACAGTCAATGTTTTTACACAAAATATCGGCCTCCCTTTTTCCTATAAAAGACAATACATTACAAGAGCTCAGTTTCAATACGCTGAGTCAAACAGAGATATCAGTTGGCTATTGGGTCACAGTGGCCCCTAGATCTAAAACGATCAGATATGTGGTTCATCCAGGTGGAATGACACCATCTTTGAAGCAGCTTTGGAATTTATGTGAGGATCAGGGGAGCTCTTACCAAACTCCTCTTCGCAGATGTAACCATGATCTTTGGAGTTAACAGAGTACTGGACCGTTCCCTCGCATTGGGACGGTAGTTTTTCTGTCACGTTGACCACAATCTTATCTAAGAGACCAAATAATGGTTTGGGTAAAGTTAAGGTTTTTTAAAACTTATTGACTTTCTGCTGTGTTGTTTAATTAAAACTTAAGACTTACCTGAACAACTGATCTTTTTAACTGTGGGCTTCTTGTAAAAACTGAAGCCATCACTACCTGGCCAGCCGGGACAGTCCCAAAGACTCGCTTCATTCCCCTGACATTTCAGTTCATTGAGCACGACTCTGCTTTTGAGAGGTCTATAAACATCTGTGGAACTTATTGGTTTTCCACAATGAGTACTACGGCACACCACTTCTTCTGCATTAGCGTTCCAGTATTTATCTCCAACATAGGTCTTTTTATCCTCATAATAAGCCTCTACATGTCCTTCACATGGTGATTCTCCACTTCGTAGGATAATCCTTCCTTTTGGATCTAGAAAACAGGGTTAATGAGCGACAGCATTTCACATCATCATCGGGAAGAAAAGCAATTTTCAAACTCCACAAATCAAATAATTGAATCCATCTCCACGTAAACTGGAAAAGTTTGCATGACATTAAACAAAGATCATTAATGAGGTCATCCTACATGTTCTTACCACATATCTGCTGGTTCTCTCCTGGAGCTCATGCTAAAGGCTCCATATACCAGAAACGGATGGATGGATGGATGGATGGATGGATGGATGGATGGATGGATGGATGGATGGATGGATGGATGGATGGATGGATGGATGGATGGATGGATGGATGATGGATGGACAGATGGATGATGGATGGATGGATGGATGGATGATAGATGGATGGATGGATGGATGGTGGATGGACAGATGGATGATAGATGGATGGATAAAAGGATGGATGGATGGTGGATGGACGGACGGACGGACGGGCGGATGGATGGATGGATGGACGGACGGAAGGACGGCGGATGGATGGATGGATGGATGGATGGATGATGGATGGATGGATGGATGGATGGATGGATGGATAGATGGATGGATGGATGGGCGGATGGACAGATGGATGATAGATGGATGGATGGATGGATGGATGGATGGATGGACGGGCGGATGGACAGATGGATGATGGATGGATGGATGGATGATGGATGGATGGATGGATGGATGGATGGATGGATGGATGGATGGATGGATGGATGGATGGATGGATGGATGGATGGATGGACGGGCGGATGGACAGATGGATGATGGATGGATGGATGGATGGATGGATGGATGGATGGATGGATGATGGATGGACAGATGGATGATGGATGGATGGATGGATGGATGATAGATGGATGGTTTGGGTGGGGTGGTGGATGGACAGATGGATGATAGTGGATGGATTTAAAAAGGGTGGGGGTGGATGGTGGATGGACGGAACGGCGGACGGGGGGATGGGGTGGGTTGGGGGACGGACGGGAAGGCCGGCGGGAAAGGATGGATGGGTGGATGGATGGATGTGGATGGATGGATGGAAGGATGGGGTTTGGGTGGATTGGGTGATGGATGGATGGGGTGGGCGGAAGGACAGATGGATGATAGATGGATGGATGGGTGGAAAGGATTTGGAAAGGATGGATGGACGGGCGGGTGGACAAAATGGATGATGGGGTGGGTGGAAAGGATGATGGTTTGGGTGGATAAAAGGGGGATGGATGGGGGATTGGACGGCGGGCGGGACGGGGGATGGGGTGGGGTGGATGGACGACGGGAAAAGGGCGGCGGGGATGGATGGATGGGTGGTTGGGTGATGGGTGGATGGATGGATGGATGGGTATGGATGGATGATGGGTTTGGGGGAGGAAAGGGCGGTTTGGCCCGATGGATGGGTAATGGATGGAGGGGGTGGATGGATGGATGGCTGGCGGGGGGATGGGCAGATGGATATGGATGGATGGTTTTGGTATGGATGGATGGGATGGATGGTGGAAAGGAAAGGAAAGGGGGTTGGGTGGATGGGATGGATGGACGGGGGTGATGGACAGAGGATGAAAAGGAAGGATGGATGGATGGATGGAAAGGATGGATTGGGATGGATTTGGGTGGGATGGGGTGGATTTATGGAAGGACCCGATGGATGATGGAAGGTTGGGTGGATGGATGATAGATTTGGGGGATGGAAAGGATGGGGGATGGGGGGAATGGAGAAAAGATGGATGGATAAAAGGGTTTGGGTGGAAAGGGGATGGACGGAAACGGGCCGGGGGAAGGATTTGGGTGGATGGACGGACGAAAAAGGGCGGCGGATGGATGGATGGATGGAGGATGGATGAAAGGGTGGATGGGTGGATGGATGGATGGAAGGATGGTAGATGGATGGTGGATGGGCGGGGTGGACAGATGGGTTTATAGATGGGTGGATGGGTGGATGGAAAGGTTGGGTGGATGGACGGGCGGATGGACAAGGATGATGGATGGGGTTGGGTGGAGATGGATGGGGATGGGGTGGGATGGAAGGGAAAGGACGGGGGGGATGGGAAAAGATGGATGATGGAAAGGATGGATGGATGGATGGATGGATTGGGAGATGGCCGGGTTTAGGGGGGATGGACAGATGGTGATGGATGGGTGGATGGAAAGGATGGAGGAAGGACCGATGGGTGGAAAGGATGGATGGTTGGATGATGGATGGACCCAAAGGAGTGGATGGATTTGGGTGGATGATGGGGTGGGGGGATGGGTTTGGGTGAGGATGGATGATGGGTTTCCCGATGGAAGATAGATGGATTTGGGTGGAAAGGATGTTGGATGGTGGATAGTGGGATGGACCAAAAGGACAGATTTGGGTGATAGAGGTTGGATAAAAGGATGGGTGGATGGTGGAAAGGCGGGAAAGGACGGGGGGGATGGATGGATGAATGGATGGGGCGGGCGGAAAGGGCGGGGGGATGGATGGGAAAGGATGGATGGAAAAGGGGGGATGGGGTGGGATGGAAGGATGGATGTATATGATTTGGGTGGATGGATTGGGGGATTAAAAGATGGGGCAGATGGGTGATGATTTTGGGTGGGTTAAAAGGGTGGATGGGGTGGTGGATGGAAGGGACCGGAGGGCGGGTGGATGGATGGATGGACGGGCGGAAGGAGGGGTGGAAGGATGGTGGGGTTTTGGGGGAGGGATGGAAGGATGGAATTGGGTGGTTTGGGTTTATGGAAGGAAAGGATGGATGGTGGATGTACAGATGGACAGATGGATGATAGATGGGGGGATAAAAAGGGTGGAGGATTGGGGGAAGGACGGGCGGACGGGGGAAGGCTGGTTTGGATGGACGGAAAGGAAGGGCGGCGGGCATGGATGGATGGATGGGTGGATGATGGAAAGGAGGAAGGATGGATGGATGATGGATGGATGGGTTGGGTGGATGGATGGGTGGGCGGGCGGTGGACAGAGGATGGATGGAGGAAAGGATGGTGGGGTGGATTTGGGTTGAAGGATGGGGATGGATTTGGGCAGAATGGATTTGGGTTGGGGTGGATGGATTTAGGATGGAAAGGGGTGGATAGATGGATGATTTGGGTGGATGGATGGATGAAAAGATGGTGGATGGATGATGGATGGTGGGTGGGTGGATGGGTGGATGGGGGATGGACAATGGACAGAGGATATAGATTGGTGGAAAAAAGGATGGATGGATGGGGATGGGCGGAAAGGACGGGGCGGACGGACGGGGGGGATGGAGGATGGATGGATGGATGGATGGATGGATGGAAGATTGGGGTGGAAAAAAAGGATGGATGGATGGTGGTTTGGGGGACGGGGGGGACGGACGGGCGGTGGATGGATGGATGGATAAAAAATGGGGTGGATGGTGAGGGGTGGATGGATGGATGGATGGGTTGGGGTGGGGGGCTTTGGGCGGAAAGGGGGGATGGATGGATGGGGGGACGGGGGCGGCAGGGCGGATGGATGGAGGATTTTTGGATGGGTGATGGGGGTGGACAGATGGGTGGATGGGTGGATGGAAGGGTGATGGGGTGGAAGGGGGACAGAAGGTGATAGATGGGTGGATAAAAGGGGGGATGATGGATGGGTGGATGGGATGGTGGACGGGAAAGGAAACGGGCCGGGGGAAAGGTGGATGGGGCGGAAAGGGCGGGGGAAAAGGGGGATGATGGATTTGGATGGATGAAAGGTTTGGATGGGTGAGGGATGGATGGAGGATGGAAAGGATGATGGACGGATGGGATGGGGTTTGGAAAATTTGGGTGGGTGGATGGATGGGATGATGGAAGGGGAAAAGGGACGGACGGGGCCCGGGTGGCGGATAGAGGGGATGGATGGTTGGGAAAGGCCCCGGAAAGGAGGGTTGGGGTTTAACGGATGGATGGGTGGATGGGGCGGACCCGGAAGGGCGGATGGGGCGGATGGACGGATGGGAAAAAATGGGGTGGATGATGGAAGGGAATGGGGCGGGCGGATGGACGGGATGGAAAGGGAAGGGGTGGATGGATGGGTTAAAGGACGGAAAGGAAAGGGCGGATGGACCCGGGTGGAAAGGATGGATGGATGATGCGGGAAAGGACGGGTGGAAGGGGATGGACGGACGGATGGATGGGGTGGATTAGGATGGATGGTTTGGGGAGGGTGGACGGACGGGGCGGGCGGGCGGATGGAGGGGTGGGTGGATGGATGGATGGATGGAAAGGGCATGGACGGAGGACGGGCGGTAGGCCAAGGATGGAAAGGTGGGTTTGGGTGGATGGGGTGGATGGTAAAGGAACGGGGTGGAGGGGGGGGGATGGGACGGATGGAACGGAAAAGGATGGATGGATGATGGAAAGGGGTGGATGGATTTGGGTGGGGCGGAAAAAAAGGGCGGATGGAGGGGGGACGGGGGGATGGATGGGGTGATGGAGGTTTGGGTGGTGGAAGGACACGGACGGGCGGGGTTTGGAATTGGAGTGGGTGGATGGGGTATGGGTGGGTGGATGGAGGGTGGATCGATTTTGGGTGGGGTGGGGATGGACAGATGGAAAAGAGGGGTGATAGATGGATGGGGTAAAAAAGGGGGTGGGGTGGATGGGGGATGGAAAGGGCCCGGAACCCGGGGGGGGAAAAGGATGGATGGAATGGCGGACGGAAGGCGGAGGGTGGAGGGGGTGGATGGAAAGGGTGGATGGGGAAAGGGGTGGATGGGTGGATGGATGGGGAGGATGGTTTGGGTGGGTGGATGGGATGGATGGATGATGGAAGGATGGATGGGTGGTGGGTTGGAAAAAGGGCCCGAAAGGATGATAGAAAGGATGGATAAAAGGATGGATGGAAAGGTGGTGGGGGAAAAAGGACGGGCGGATGGAAAGGACGGGCCGGGGAAAGGAAAGGGGGAAAAAATGGATGGGTGGGTTTGGGTGAACTGGATGGATGATGGATGGAAGGAAGGATGGTGGATGGCAAGGGGGGGAAAGGACAGATGGATGGATGGTTTTTGGAAGGACAGCTGAATTGGATGGATGGAAGGATGGGTGGATTTTGGATATGGGTGGATGATGGATGGATAATGGATGATGGAAAGGAAGGAGGATGGGGTGATAGATGGATGGATGGATTTTGGGTTGAGGTGGTTGGAAAGGGTGGAAAGGAAAGGGTGGGTGGACAGTGGGACAAATGGAAAGGGTAAATGGATGGGTTAAAAAGGAAAGGGGGGGATGGGGGGATGGAAAGGAAAGGACAGGACCCGGGGGGATGGAAAGAATGGTGGATGGGGGGATGGATGGATGATAAAATGGGTTGATAGGGATTTTAAAAAAAGGTGGATGGAAAGGTTTGGGTTGGGGAAAGGACGGGGCGGACGGGCGGAAAGGGATGGAAAAGGGGGGATGGAGGATGATGAATGGAAAGGGGTGGATGGATGGGGTGGAAAGATGGATGGGGGATTTAAAGGAATTTGGGGCGGATGGCCCGGGGGCGGAAGGGTGGTGGAAAGGACGGGGCCCGGGGGGATGGATGGATGGAAGGATGGATGGATGGTTTTTATGGGCGGGAACGGACGGCGGGCGGGCCGGGGGGATTTGGGTGGAAAGGAGGCGGAAGGACGGCCCTTTAAAGGATGGAAAGGTTGGGTGGAGGATTGGGTGGATTTGGGTGGAAAAAGGTGGATGGATGGAAAGGGTGGATGGATGGATGGGGTGGGGAAAGGTTTGGGTGGATGGAAAAAATGGGACAGATATGGATGGATGGATGGGTGGGTGGATGGATTGGGGGGGGCGGATGGGAAAATGGAAAGTTTGGGTGGAAAGGATGGTTTGGGTGGAAAAGGAAAAGGACGGGTGGAAAGGGGGGGGGGAAAATTGGGTTTAGGGTGGTGGAAGGAAGGATGGGATGGTTTGGGTGGATGGATGGAAAAAATGGATGGATGGATGGATGGATGGGGTGGATGGATGGATGATGGATGGATGATGGGTGGATGGGAAAGGGTGGATGGATGGATATGGTGGACAGGGTGGATGGTGGATGGATGGATGGATGGGGGGGGGGATGGACAATGGACAGATGGATGATAGATGGAATGGATAAAAGGGTGGGGTGATGGATTTGGGAAAGGATTATGGTGGGTGGGGTGGATGGAAAGGAAAGGGGCGGGCGGATTTGGGTGGGTGGACGGACGGGGAAAGGGCGGGGGGATGGATGGATGGATGGATGGATGGATGGATGGATGAATTGGGTTGGAAGAGGGATGGATGGAAAGGGGTGGGTGAAAGGGGCGGGGGGATGTGGATTTTGAAGGATGGGGTGGATGAAATTTTACGGACGGGGCGGACGGGGAATGGGCGGATGGACGGGAAAATGGATGGATGGTGGGTTGGAAAGGAGGGCGGGCGGATGGCGGGGGATGGTGGGTGGACGGGACGGACGGGGGGATGGGCGGATGGACGGGGGTTGGATGGAAAGGATGGATGGATGATGGGCATGGGCGGGATGGACGGGGCGGGGTGGTGGAAAAGGATGGATGGTTTGGGTTTGGGTGGATGGAAAATTTATGGACGGATGGGGCGGGCTTGGATGGGCGGGTGGAAAGGAAAGGATGGATGATGGGCGGGATGGGGCGGGTGGATGGACGGGGTGGACGGGCGGATGGATGGATGATTTGGGTGGATGGATGGCGGATGGACAACGGACGGGCGGATGGAGGATGGACCCGGGTGGATTGGATGGGTGGATGGATGGGATGGACGGAAAGGGGCGGGCGGGGGGGGGCCCGATTTGGAAAGGATGGAGGATGGATGGGTGATGGACGGGAAAGGCCCGGGGGGCGGTGGACGGATTTGGGCGGGATGGGGTGGATGGATGAAAGGATGGTTTGGGTGGTGGATGGACGGAAAAGGAACCCCGGGGGGAATGGAAAGGATGGCGGGCCCGGGGTGGATGGATTTATGGATGGAAAGGATTTTGGGGATGGCGGGCGGAGGGGGGAAAAGGTTGGGTGGGGTGAATGGATGATGGATGGATGGGAAAGGGGGGGACGGGATGGGTTTGGGTGATGTGGATGGGGAAAGGATGGATGGACGGATGGACGGATGGATGGATGGAAAGGATGGGGGTTTGGGTGATGGATGGATGGACGGATGGACGGATGGATGGGTGGATGGGTTTAAAGGGATGGATGGATTGGGTTTGGGTGGAAGGATTGGGGATTGGATGGATGGACGGGAAAGGACATGGATGGATTGGGTGGATGATGGATGGATGGAAAGGATGGGCCCGGGTGGATGGAAGGGGTGGGGTGATGGAGGATTTGGGTGGATGGTTTTGGATGGATGGATGGACGGATGGCGGATGGATGGGTGGGTGGGTATGGATGGAAAGGATGGACGGATGGATGGATGGGGTGAGGGGGATGGACGATGGGCGGATGGATGGATGGATGATGGATGGAAAGGATGGAAAAAATGGGGGGATGGATGGATGGAAAGGATGGACGGATTGGGGGATGGAGGGAAAGGTTATGGATGGATGGGGCGGATGGACGGATGGAAAGGGTGGGGTGAAGGTGGATGGGGGATTTGGGTGAGGATGGATGGACGGAAAGGGAGGAGGATGGTTGGATGGGTGGATGGATGGATGGATGGTTAAAGGACGGGACGGGCCGGGTGGATGGATGGAGGCGGGGGGAAGGACGGCGGGGTTGGGTGGATGGAAGGGGTGGATGAAGGGTGAATTGGATGGATGGGGGTGGGGATGGTGGATGGATGGATTTATGGAAAGGGTTGGATGGATTGGGTTGATGGATGGGATGGATATGGACCCGGGCGGGAAAGGCGGGCGGGGTGGACGGATGGGGCGGTAGATGGATGGATGGGGGGAAAGGCCCGGGCGGACGGGCGTATGGACGGAAGGTTTGGGGGATGGCGGACGGACGGGCGGGGGATGGAAAGGGGTGGACGGATGGGGGTTTCTGATGGATGGGTGGGGGGATGGACGGATGGCACGGGGTGGAGGAGGATGGGTTGGGGTGGGGAAGGATTTTGGGTGGGATTGGGATGGGACGGATGGAAAGGGCGGATGGGACGGATGGAAAGGATGGATGGGGAATTATGGACGGTTTGGGGGGTGGATGGACGGGTGGACGGACCGGGGTGGATGGGTGATGGGTGGTGGATGGCGGTGAGGGCAGACGGACGGGCGGATGGGCGGATGGGGCGGATGGATGGATGGTGGGAAGGATGGAATGGACGGGACGGACGGGGGGGAAAGGCCAAAAATGGCATGGAAGGGTGGGGAAAGGATGATGGACGGATTAGGACGGGAGGATGGACGGATGGGGCGGAAAGGAAAGCGAGGGTGATGGATGGAAAGGAAAGGTGGGATGGGCGGACCACGGGCGGGGTGGACGGCGGAAGGGGGACGGATGGGTTTGGGTGATGGATGGATGGATGGTTTGGGTGGACGGGGACGGGCGGGAAAGGTGGATGGATGAATTGGATGGATGGATGGAGGAAGGGGACGGATGGATGGATGATGGATGGATTGGGGTGGGTGGATGGATGGGGATGGACGGATGGAAAGGATGGATGGTGGTGGATGGGGGGGGATTTTGGGTTATGGGGTGGATGGGGCGGGGTTGGCGGGGTGGATGGATGGATGGATGGATGATTTGGGTGGATGGTGGATGGATGGGGTGGATGGTGGTTGGATGGATGGGGTGGATGGGGGATTGGAAAGGATAATGGGTGGTTTGGGCGGGGTGGGCGGGGGTGGATGGATGGAAGGGGTGATGGATGGATGGACGGGTGGGGGGGAAAGGGGTGGATGGGAAAGGATGTGGATGGGGTGGATTATGGATGGATTTGGGGTTTGGGTGGATGGATGGACGGGTGGGCGGGGTGGATGGAAAGGGTGGAAAGGGTGGGTGGGCGGATTTGGGGCGGGTGGATGGATTTTAAAAAAAGGTTTATGGAACGGTTGGGGCGATGGATGGATGGGGTGATGGATGGAAAGGGAAAGGATGGGGGGAAGGAAAGGATGGACGGGTGGATGGAGGGATGGGGTGGATTATGGAAAGGATGGGGGGGAAAGGGCAAGGATGGATGGATGAGATGGATGGAAGGATGGATGGGTGATGGGTGGGTGGACGAAAGGACGGATGGATGGTTGGGTGGATGGGGTGGAATGGATGGATGGATTGGGGGTGGGCCGGGGGGGACGGATGGATTTGGGTGGGGTGGATGGAAAAAACGGATGGAAGGGTGGAAAGGATGGAGGAAAGGGGTGGAAAATGGGGAGGATGGATGGATGGATGGGTGGGTGGAAAGGAGACGGGGTGGGGCGGGTGGATGGATGGGGTGATGGATGGATGGATGGATGGATGGATGGATGGATGGATGATGGATGTACATATATATATTTATATATATATATATAGGTAAAATAGAGCTGTTGTAAAAAAATATATATATACATTTATTTATATATTGCTAAATCTAACCAGGGATGTGACAGAAAATCTTTTCCTGGAAAATGTCCAAATTATAAATCTTAAAAACAAACTAAATAAACATAACTTAATGCATCTAAACTCCCGCTTTGCAAGAAGACATAAAATTGCAGTAATTTAAAATGATTCAAAGAACATATTTAGAAAACTATTCTAAGACATTCTTTGAATTTAAACAGCATATGATTATCATTGGGTGAAAATAAAAACTTTTTAAAGGTTTCGGCTTTCTAGAAATAACTTATAGCTCTTTGACTTATTTCTAGAAATACATCATAGAGTTTTTTTACAGTAATCTTCCTAGTGATAATTGAGGGTTAATAAGATTAAAGCGCTGCTGTTTGTATAGAATACTATTTAATTTCATTAATAAACAGAATTATTTTATGTCAGGAATTTAAAGAGGTCTATAACTTACCTGCTGAGCCTGTTGGTGTGAAGTAAGCCAAGGTGTGGAGGAGCAGCAGCAGCATGAGCTCCATCATCACCGCAGCTCATCACTAGTGACTGAAGAACACAGAGGATCTCAGAGACTTTATATCGACAAGGAAGTGCCGCCAAAAAAGACTGTGAGCAGCAGACAGCCCATCTTCCTACACTTCCACGCCGTTATAAAATGGTAGAAATGGATGAAAAAAACTTTTATGTTTGTTTTTTATCCACGGAAAAGTGAAAATAAATTGAAGAAAATGTAATTTGCTGTATATGAATTCTATATGTGAATAATAACTAAGCCTCAATGTGATGATACAATTATTAACTTTATAAATCTTATACAGGATTAATTATCTAGTTATTTATATAATATTCAACAATTTCTAAATGTCTATAACTGTTTATAAACTCTCACATTTATAGTAACTCTGCTTTAGGGAAATTAAATATTGAGAGTTCTAATAAATATCAAATGTTATCCCTCCTTGTGTCTGCGGCTGTCGGCATGTCTCCTGTTTGGATTTTAAAGTAGTGAGCTTAAAATTTGAGAGAAATAAAAAGTGGGGTTTTTAACAGAAATATAATAATTTTTCTTTTATTCGGATTAAAAGCAAACTAATAAAATTTTATTCTACATCAAAATTAACTCATGCTTAATTTTTAAGAATAGATGTAAACCTCTCAGAATATTTTCTTTGTACAAGCAAAGCTTCTAAATTTAACATAATTAAACTTTTTTTTAATGTCACATATCTTTTTAAAGCCAGAAAAAAGTTTATTCATTTCCACGAGACGTGAGTTTCGGCACATTTAAAAGGTTGTATCACAAATGTGAAAAACTAAATTAGAATAAAAAAAAACTTAGAATGAGGTAATAAAACTTTTTAATAATTAACAATTGTGCTGCAATAGATTTTGTACCTTAACTCTTTATAGGGCACTCAGGGAAATACTTTGAAAATCTAATTTTCAAGCCAATAGTGTTATTGGAATCCACACCGTATTACATTTTAAACATTCAAAATGTAACATTCAATAATATACTTTGATGGAAAAAATTTATGTCAACGTAACAACAAGAAAAACCAACTTACCTGAATGTATTAAGAAAATAACAAAAGTACTATCATAAGAATTTAATGAAAAACACTTTTTGGTCTAACATAACATTAGAGGCATTAATGCTGATACTGGCACTTAAATTTTTTAGTTTATAAATCTAAATATAATAGTTAACTAGGTTTTTTTTACTTTTGAACTTAACTTTTTTAACTTTTCAATCAGCTTTTTACCTTTTTCTTGACTTACATTACGTAATATATAATTACAGGGCTCATCTAATTGGTCAAATGCCAAAATAAGATTATAAAGCCATGTAGCAGGATTTTTAATGAATGGCTGGATATAGATCTAGTGCTTCTAGAACTCACTGAGGGATGGCGGGACTCCATTTGTAAAAGCTACGCAAGTAATCAGAAACAGTAACTTGCCCTATATAGGATTAACTATTTCATTTTATTATCACAATTTCAATAAAACTTTATTCTTTTCAACAAAGTACTTATACATATACTGTTTTTTATTTATAAGAAAAATTATTAATTGAATTAATTAGCATGTTTGCAAATGATAATAGGTATTTATATTATGAAATATTTATAATCGGCAGCTTCTGTTTGTATGCATTTGTTATACAAGTTTTTTGTGGTTTTCTTGAAGCCAAACAGAAGTTTGATACTAAATGCAAAATGAGTAAAATGCCAGATTACATCAGAGAAATGTCAAAACTGTTTATATTCTTAGAGGATCGGATAAAAATGATCAACATCCTGCTTCATGTTATCAGAAAACATCTGAAAACTAGAAAAAGTTTCCACACAGACTTTGAAGGAGATAAAGTCGTTCACATCGAAGCATAAATATATAATTTTTAAACCTCTGGATGAATCCGTTCTGTTTGCTTCATTTACTGCATTTGTTCGGCGCATGATGAACAAGTGATCTTATAGCAAAGTACCTGAGCCTTTAAAAACGCTGAGACCTGTCTCACAAATGAAGATATGACATCTGCCCTTTTTCACACTCATCCACAAACATTTCCTTCAGCGTCGCACTACTGGGTTATCAAATGTCATATAAGAAAAAGCGCAACTTTGGTTGCTCTAATTTTTTAATTTAAAAAAATGTTCATACACAATGTTGTCTTGGAAGTCGGATTCCCTGTTTGTGCAGCAAACATGATCAATTAAGTCGATTCTTGTGCTGGTTTGTAACAATAAAGTTATATGAGCATCTTAACTGCTCAGAGGTCTAAAACTAAAACATAATGGAAATTCTTATTGGACCTCATGTCACACAATATTAGGAGAAAATGTGACATTCTCCTTTTTTCTTCTGTTTCTACATTTTTTTTAAGTGACTGACGTAGGAGCCTTGTTCAATCAGGCAGCTGTTATCCAAGCCCAGTTAGTCACTAAATGACCACATTTGTTGTTCATTAGGAGCAACTGTCCATTTTATTTGGCTGCATTATATATTATGTAATTCTGCAATTATAAATGAAAATGTTGTTTAATACTTGCATAGATACTTACAGAATAGAAAATGGAAAGTTCATCACAACTCCTCCAAGACTTGCATTCTTTTCTCTTGTTGCAGCTCCTTAAATTTGTTATGACATAAAATGTGAATGTTTGGGTTTGGGTCTGAATAAATGAATGGAATCTGAGTTTTATTCATGTTATGTTGATGCATGAGAGAGATAGAGAAGGAAGGACGTTGGCGTTTTTATCATATGTTGCTCTTCTTGCCTCCGTCAGAAGTTTTCATTGACTGTTTTTGGATCAAATGAAGTTTCTGTTTGTTTTTTTCTTTTCCCTCATTTTACTTCTGTAACAGTGCAACCACAGCATTTGCAGCTTTTGTAATTTATTCCCCTTCTTTTTACATATATATACGTATATATGGATGGATATATATATATATATATATATATATATATATATATATATATATATATATATATATATATATATATATATATATATATATATATATGTAAATGTATATATATATGTACATATATGTATATATACATATATACACACACATATCGACGATACCGACACCCGATACCTGGCTGTGCAGTGTCGGCCGATACCGATACCATAATAATGTAAAATAATTGCCATCATGGCTTTGTTAAGCTGCTGCCTGCCTTTGTGAAGCAGGACAAAATCTAAAACAAAGTGAATCCAGTAGAACTTTTTATTGCCTACCAGGAGTGGGTGTCAATAGTTGAATAAACTTATGGCTCTCAAAATGGTATCGGTGCCCTATTTGTTGGTACTCGCCGATACCGATACCACCATTTTAGTGCTGGATCGGGGCCCCGACTGATACTGGTATCGGTATTGGTGCAACACTAATATATATATGTATATATATATATATATATATATATATATATATATATATATATATATATATATATATATATATATATGTATATATAATGTACCTTAATAATAATTGCTGAACTAAAAGTAGTCCCTCGCCGACGTTCTTCCCTGGTTATCACAGTCCGCAGACACCAGAAGTCTGTGTGTCTTGACCTTGCAAGAGAAATTGCTGTTTTGGGTTAGGGATTGGGTTTAGGTTGGGCTTAGGGTTAGGCTGTGTGTGTTTGTGCATATCAGTGTGTACACATTTCTTTATCCATTTTTCCATCGTTTGTTAATTAGCATTGGGTGCATTAATCATATGCAAAAATAACTAAATAAATAAAACAAAAAACACAGGCTGGTGTGGAAAAAAGGAAATCAGTCAGAAAGCATAAAAATATCTTGAGAGTGAGATGGAGGACAATTTAGGTTCAACAGGTTCACAGGAACTCCTGATCTACCCTGACTGATATTAAACTATATGGCAAAGAAGCATGGGCTCAAATATTACACTGTTGATATTAAAATAAGGACCCTATGGGTGTTCAAAGTTCATTTAGGTCACATGTCTGGGATTTATAACTGAAACGGCAGTTACTTAACTAAAACAAAAAGCTAGAGGAGACATACGCCAATTGAAACAAGGTTGAAATTGACTCCCTTTGTAAAATTTTCTTTGCTTTATTTTATTATATCAAAATGATATATATAAAATAAAATAAAAAATCCACCATCCTCCTCTTATAAGTGCACCAAAAGTTTGTAAAACTTTTTCTTTCTAAAGCCTCTGAAGTCTCACAGCCTTCCTATTGGATTTCTGTCCCTCTTCTTCACTTTGCATCATAGTGGAACATTTATTTGCTCTTTCTAGAATCGCTGCAGTGCTTCAGCCAGAAACAAAAACAAAAACCCCGTAGCAGGCGACCTTTCCAGCTCAGAGTCAGATTTGATGTGCTAATACAGTCTGCAGAAGCTCAAAAATATAATCTCTACTTTTGTGGATTAAGATTTTCTGAAGCTCTAATTGAAATTATTAAGCCTTTATTTATTCATGCCGTCTCACTGACACACAGGTTTTCATTTAAAAAGAGGCTATATCATTTTTCTCTATGGGGGGAACTCACATTTTGTAAAGTAGAGCTTCGGCTAACGAGCCAATAAATATGCTGCATCTGAGCTGCAGAAGAAAACATTTTTGCTTTTTTCGTTTGACCAAATATACAACTGAGTGGGATAAGACAAAAAGCACACAGGCCATATTAAAGCTGCTGTCTTAGTCTTAGGGAGCCTCATAAAAGACCCTACTTCTCCTTCTACAAGCTTATAGCCTGTAGACATTATTACGTGTTTGATGGTGATATAATCTCAGGGGTTTGATGGCCGGTCTCTCAGAACATCATAGTGGTGATAATATCTGATCCTGGTTACTTAAACAGTAATAATAAACAGAAACGCTTCCATAAAACACCAAAGCAGATGGTCCCTCTGACTGCGTCTTTATTTCTATGAGTTCACTGTTTGTTCTGTTTGACTTTGGCCTAAAATCCTTTTCACTGTAAATGACCAAAAACCTCCATCTTGATAAGAATCATTTATAAAACTGAAGGAGGACTAATTTACCAACTT